GTTTCTTTGTGAGCCTGGTTCGTGTTTTTATCTCATTTTTATAGGGTTTGGAAAGTAGATGTTTAGAACCTATTTATTAAGTGATGAAACATATTAGCCACTTATCTTTATTTCACAAAATCCATTATTATTTTTAATAGTGATTACTAATTGCTGCAGGGAATAGTGAAAAATATAATCTTGGTTGGATATTATAGTAATTATGTATATGAATGTCATGTTAATGCTGTGAGCTTCAGAAAAGAATATTAAGAATAATGGTACCGTGGGGCCACTAGATACAGTAAAGAAATTGCCATTTTTTTTACTCTGGTACATTTTTTTCAATCATTTCTTTCTTTTACTTCTGTTCCTTCCATTATAGGACAGTTTAAAGAAAATAAATCTACTAGATGTAAATTCAGTGTTAAACATGTAGTTTTTAATCATACCCTGGAGTCTTTCAGCAATGAACCTGTTTTTAGAAAGTATAATAATAAAAAGCTTGAGTTAAGTAAAATGCCTCGTCAAAGAAAACCCCTTACATATTTTTAATCATAATATAATTCTGCTTCTTAGAGGTTCTGGCTAGCTTAGGAAAATTAACTTAGGATTGCATTTATTTACACTGTCTCGTTCAGTGTCAGGTTATATAGTTATTTTGAAATATTTAGTTCTCTGGAAGTACTATTTTAAATAGAAAAAAAATTTCTGATGACACTGTAGTGATGAAGTCAAATAATTTAATCTCTCGAAAAATTGTACCTGTCTCTCATAACCTACAGCAAGTTTTCTGAAAGCATAGACTTCAGGGTGAGGTCTAGCGTCAGTAATGCTGAGGAGACAGAGTTTATACATACAAAGTAGGTGGGTTATGCACTTGGATGTCGGAGCAGAGGACTTGCAAGTGGAATGCTTATAGAGGCTGGAGAAATAGATGAGTCTAGATTGATTCCAAGTGTCTCGGTAATGAAACATGACTAGGAATTTGCCTTGCAAAGAAGAGGGAAGGGAGCATTTCATTGAGACAACATGGCAAGTAAGGGCACCAGGTAATGACAAAGAGTCAGTGTGGCTGTATCTTAGGGTTTGGGTTACAATTATACCATGAAGTCAGAGGGTTAGCTGGGGGCCAGTTTATGACAGTTCTTGAGTTCCATGTTAAGAAATCTGGGGAGCTTATTTAAAAAAAAAGGTTTTTCTAAAAAAGAATTATATGACAAATTTATAAGGAAGATGAAAAAGTAACAGGGGAGCGGATGGCCTGTGTGTTTTACCCACTGGTCAAATTAAATGTCAGCATCTGTTTACGGAGCACTTAATATGGGCAAGGCATTGTGCTGTTTTACATATTATCTTATTTAAGTTCTTAAAATTGTGTAGTAGGAGGCAGTTTTTACATTTTGTAGATGAAGAAACAAAGGCTTGAAGCACTTTGTCAAGTTTACTAAAGTCACACCAGTAGTAATTATTAAACACAAATTTTCTGAATGTATTGTTCTTTCTGCTTACCATATATTCATTCCAGGGTTGGTTGACAAAGGCAAGTCAAGTTGTGGACAACAGTGATCTCATCTGGACCTATCTAAGGGGATAGGAGCCCATTGTTTCATCCAGGACCCTGTTTCCTGCACATGTGAATTAGCTGTCTATCCCTGTTCTTAGCCAGTCTGTTTTTGAAACTCTTCCACATCACACAATAGGCTGGGAAGAGTATATACATTTGACTGGCTGATATAGCCAAATAATTTCCCAAATTTATATTTCTTGCGGAAATAAATGTGAATAGAAAAAAAAAGATTCACTCTACTATAAATTTTAACTCTTATTTGGCCTTGATTTGGTCATTTAGCATTCAACCAGCATGCACTCTCTAATAAACTCAGAGCCTGTGAGGATGCAGAAATGATTGAGTGGATGTTGTGTGATGTAACGTGGCAGGGAGCGCTGACTTGTAACCAAGTGTTCTGGATTCCAGTTTTTACTCTTCTCACTCACACGATGGATGAACCCTAACATACCACTTAGCCTCCTGGAGCCCAGTCTCTCCGTCTACATAATGAGAGGAGGGGTGGTCTGTTGAACTAAACACAGATCTAGTATCTTGTATTTCTGAATCACAGGGAGAGACTCACAGTTTATTTGTGGGAAAACACAGTAACATAATTAATACTTGTCAGTCAATCGTGGCTTCTAATTTTTTTAATGGCTTAGAGCCAGAAATCTGGTAAGAAGTGGGGACTAGAGAACTTGTTTGAAAGCTTTATTTGCAATGCATTTCCAGTGCTGTTGGAAATAGTACTTTCCTAAAGATCTCTTATCAGTATTTATATAGGATTAGGAAAATGTCACCTATTAGCATTTTAATGTCATAATTCCGTGTTAAGTGACTTGGAGGGAGCTAGTAGGAAAGAGAGGGTGGGGGGCAGCTTACCTCCTGGTGCAGTCACTCATGCTATGTGTTTCAGCCTAGTCCTGCTTTTCAGAATGACCAGACGTGTATAATGACTGCCTTTAGGAAATAGAAAAAAAATGAGACTTTTGTTGTAGGAGTCTTTATCTCTTTTTATTTCAAAAACAAAAACAAAAATAAAAACAAACCACTTCAGGAGTTCACCTCATATTTCTTTGAGGATATAGTAACAATGTCCTTGAGTAGCTGGCAGGAGACTGTAATCCAGGATCTGAAGCAGCACCAATCAGTGAGGCCTGAGAAGGCGCCAGAATTTCTCAGAGGTAACTCCCTCTTCTATCAGCAAAGCTCAAAGTTTAGACTTAGTTTTGTATTCTTGAGGGTAACAGCTTAATATTTTAATATTAGAAAAATATAACTCCTACACATTCTTGAGAATAAGTGAGCTTAGTATTTTATTAATTAGAAAAATATAACTCCCATATACCTTACACAGTATACAGGAGTCTGATGCATGTCACTGAATAAATGGGTGAAAACAATGTTGTTATAGAAATTTTGGAAAGTAGAAAAGAAAAAAAAAGTTCATAATCCTAACACCTTAATACAGCTAGTGCTCGACTTACGACCACGATTGGTTCCGACAGACCGGCCGTAACACGATTTGGTCATAAGTTGAGTAGGCTATATGTACAGTACTGTGAAATGATGTTATAAAAATCTTTAAGTCATATTTTATCATAATTTTCTTTGTTCATTTTATGCCATTTGTATCATCTCTACACCATTTTGTTTCTTATTTTTACATTCGTCAGGTTTAAGTAAAACACTGCATTACCAGTACAACTGGTTTAATATTTGCAAAACATACAAAATTACAAAATACAGGTGCATACAAAAATACAAAATACAGGTGTAAAAAATACCATAGGAAACATTTTCCCAATTGCACTCGGAGATGGTAGTGCTGCCGGAAGCTGGTCCGCACTGTCGTACGCCCAGCTGGGCAACGTTTGCGCTGCCAGACGCTGAGCAGTCATGGCTAGCGATTGTGGTCGTAAAGTCGAATGATCGTAAGTTGTGTAGGTCGTAAGTCGATCAATACCTGTAATATATACGTGTATGTCTGAATATGTTGTACTGGCCTGAGCATAGAAAGTTAACTGGCCGGAGCATAGAAAGTTAACACCAAGATAAAAGTATGCCAAATTGCAGGGTCTTTATTGCCGGCGGTCACGGAGGACTCGCGTCTCTTCAACTCGTGGCCCTGAAAGGAGAGTGTCAAGACCTTTTATACCCATAAAACCACCTCAGGAGTGAGGGTGAGGGTCAGGGGTGGGGGTGAGGGGCTTCAGACTTTCTGAGAGCTAGTGGATTCTGTAAATCACTTCCTGGGCGGAGATGAGGGTGAGGGTCTCAGACATTCCGAGGGCCAGGGGACTTTGGACATTCTGATTGTTACTTAAGTGGTTCAAAAAAGTCAAGATTAGCATTTGTTTACACATTGTCTGGGTAGGGTGGAAATTACTGTCCTTAATTACTTTTTACAAGTCGCAGGGGCCAAGATGGCATGGGTTTGGACTGCTTGCCTGTCACATTTGGGCTGCAGAGAGCAGTTTCAATAGAAAGCCGAGGTATGGTTGAGGTGTGCAGTTTTATGGGGCTTTTACCATGTCACAAATACATATTTAATATATTTGTATATATACATATACTTTATAGGCATGTACAGGTTGAATATCCTGGATCCAGGAATCTGTAATGCTCCATGATCTGAGGCTTTCTGAGTGCCAAAATGATACTCAAAGGAAATTCTCATTGGAGCATTTTGGGTTTCAGTTTTGAATTAGGAATGCTAAATTAGCAAGTATTCTAAAATTCAAAAGAAATCTGAAATCTAAAATACTTCTGGTTCCAAACATTTCAGATAACGGATACTCAACCTGTATATACACAGATAAGATACACACACACACACACACACACACACACACACACAGGTTGTATGTGTATATATACATAAAATAGAAAAAATATAAAATGCAGATATAGTTTAAAGTTTAATGTAAACATTATCTAGAGAGTTTTATGTCCTGATTTCTAAGATTTAACATTCTATGACAAACATACTCCAAAATGCATTAGTTTTTATAGTTCTGATTTTAATGACTATATAATATTCTAGTCAGTTATTTATTATAAACTAATTATCATTTCTTCTATCAATTAGATTAATTTAGAGGTTATATTGATAGTCTTATTCCAGTTAAAATCTTTATGCCTGTATTTCTTTCCTTCTTTTGACTTTTTTCCTTATAATAAGTGAACAGAACCTGGAATACGGTTCTAGAAATGACTCCTCATTTTTGCAGCAGTCAGTGTGAATACTAGTTTCATCACTTTACCTGCTTTGGATATTAACATTTTTAAAAAATCTTAATTAGTAGTTTAATTTTGTTTTCTTCACAGAAGAAAAACTAATATAAAAGTGCTATTTATTGGTTAAAATCATATATACAAAAATTTCACTAACTCATTAACACTGAATATGCAATATGTAATAATGCAATGTTCTTTTGTCTCACTATTACATAATTCTTTTTTTAAGCTGTCTGTGGAAGTCCGTAAAGAGATAACTAGAAAGGCTATTAAGACAGTCAAACATTTTATTGAGAAGCCAAGGAAAAGAAACTTAGAAGATGAAACTCAAGAAGCTGTGGATTCTAAAGTTACCTATGCAGATACTTTGAGTCATCTGGAGCAGTCACTTGCTCACCTGGAAACCCTGAGTCATAGTTTCATCGTTTCTCTGAAGAATAGTGAGCAGGTAAAGAAATGGAAACTTCTGGATGCTAGCTCTGTATTAGTATATTCTTTCTTTTTTCCTCTACAGTTACATTAGTAGTTTTGATAGGGTTTTCAGACTTGCAGATATCTTTGAAAATGGTTCTCAAGCCTTTATTGGTTAACCTCTTATTACCTGATTGTCTGTTCAGTTTCTACTTCTTTCAAAACGATTTTAAGCCACTCGGTACAGTTGATGTGGGGAGATGGAGGAAGCAGATGAGACGGTAGAAGTGGAGATGGTAGCAGGAGTTGAACACTGGATAGCTGCCTGGAGTTGGGGGAGTGGCCTCTAAAATTAAGAAATGAGAAGACGGTGGTTCTCAGGCTTTACTTCTAGCTGGTAGAAAAAATAAATAAAAAATAAAATTTTGGTTTTGTTTTTCCCCCTAATTTTCAGAAAAAATCAGAAATAGCCTCTTACTAGACCCTGCTTTTTGTTAAATGCGTGCCCTTATCCTGTTTTTATGTTGCATGTTTCCAAAATAAAATATAACTTCATTAAGAGGAATTTTTTGACTACTAAAATTGTTCCTAGTTGGTTTCTAGTTCCTTGGTGTCTCAGAAACACCACCATAAAGTTTGGGCTCCCCTGCCCGTGATGAGGTTTGAAGACCCACGTGTTAGGACTGGACGATGAAACCAGAAGCTCTCTGAGGCCCTGAGAGATTTTGTTCTATATTCTAACAATTGTGGGATTTGAGATAAAAGTTTCTATAACTGGAAACGGTGCTTAGGATTTATAAGTGAAAACAGTGCTTAGATATATGAATAGTATTCCATTTGCCCTTTAATACTATGGTAAATGAACCTTATAAGTGGCCGTTAACCTCCTCTTTCATTTTTCTTAAACCTTACACATTTATTGAATTGCATTCTTGCCTTGTAGAATGACTAGAAGGATCAGTCAGTGGTGAGTTCAGATGATGAGCAAATGGGAGACTTCAAAATTTGTACACGACATAAATGCAAAGCCCTCATTGAAAAGATAATGGGAAGAAAAAGTTTGATAGAAATGTTATTTCATTTTGTGTTTGGGAGTGCCTATTTATCTGTCTAATGAGTAATGTTAAATAATGATATGAACAATGTAGAAGCTTTCGCAGGGAACAAATTGGCTTTACCAATCTTGATTTTATCCTACTGACATTTACAGTACTACAGTTCATAATTATGAGAACTAGAGTAAAATTAGAATCTTCAAGGAAAAGTGACTTATACTTATTAGTGTAAATTTTTAAGTACTTATTTTTTAAATGAACACATTTAAAATTATTTTTAAAATCATATTATTTTTAATATACTTTTTAAAACCCAGAGTAATTTGTCATTACTCTCTTTGAAACAAGTATTGTCTCCCTTCCTTCCTTCCTTCCTTCCTTCCTTCCTTCCTTCCTTCCTTCCT